TAGTTTAGTTTATGTATATCTGTGTAGTTTAGTTTTATGTGCAGTTGTATAGTGTTTTGTAGTTACATAATTTTGTAAAGCTGTATAATTTTTGTAATTCTGTATGTTTTTCTTTTCTTTTGGTATAGCTGTATAATTTTTGTAACTTGTATATTTGTATAGTTAATGCACAGTTGTATAGTTTATGTGTAGTTGTATAGTCTATTATAGTTGTATGGTTTATATTATAGTTGTATAGTTCGTGCATAGATGTACAGTTTTTGTTAGGATGGGGAGAAGAGCAGAGACTTCTTAAAGCAATTCCTACTTCCACATATCCAATAATTAACTGACATACGAATCTGAATTCCCCCCCCCCCCCCCCACACACACACACACACGTAATCATTCGTTATTCTCTCGTTTCCCAGGTTTACCAGAACTTCGGGTTCCCACCTCACGTGCAGCGCTGGATCTTAGGTAAGCGCCTCGCAGACGACGACTCATGCACTCTCGACCAGCACAAAGTCACGTCGGAAGGTTGTCCAATCTTCCTCTACCTCGTGGCACCTCAAGCGGACACTCAGGAGAGGAACCAGCAGCCTCAGCGGAAAACGGAATACGCCTACGTCGATGCTCCTGCGAAGCCCGTTCCTCCTTCTCCTGCTAGAAGTTTTAGAGAAGAATGCAGTGAGGTTATTTACGAGAATCTATGTTCGGAGAGGGAGGAATACGAGCCTATGGGCAGAAGCGAAGCCGCGGGGCCGAAGCCTGTGTCACAGCTCCGGCAAATGCAGGAAGTCAAATACGCTCCCGTGCCCCAAAAGGTTGAAATCCGTTCGAATGTCAATGGAGTGGCTAGTTCGAATGCCGGGTCAGCAAATTCGTCCAGTAGTGGTATATATCAGAAGCAAAACGTCCAATATGGGAAGGTTAATCCGCCTACGAAGAAGATTGAGGAGACGGTATTGCAGCCAGTGCCAGCGAAAGGAACGAAGAGAGAAACAACGGAAATGACCATACAGCTGCAGGCCCCACAACAACAGCTACAACAACAGCAGCAGCAACAGCGACAACAGCAACAGGAACAGCAAAGACAACAACAACAGGAACAACAGCGACAGCAGCAGCAACGACAACAGCAGCAACAACAAGAACAACAACGACAACTACAACAGCAACAACAACAGCAATTACTACTAAAACAACAACAGGAACAACAACTATTACTACAAAGACAACAGCAACAACAACAGCAGCAGTACCGACAACAACCACAACAACAACACCATCAACACCAACCACAACAACAGCCGACAGCTAAGCAAGAACCGTCCGCATTAAACCCGCCACTACAACTCCCAGCACAAAAAACGGAAAAATCACAAGACAGATCGGAGCCGCTGCCGAACACAAAACCGCCCCAGCAGAAAGCAACACAGCCACAGCAAGTACAGCAACCGACGCCGATCGTTGCCTCTGCCACCCAACCCCCCGGCGGCACAGCAGAAACGGTCGACATCAGCAAGCAGCAAGCAAAAGCAGACAGCAGCGTACCAAAGAAGAAGAATTCAGCGCAGAAGGGCTCCTCCCCGAAGCAGAAGCAGAAACGAGCGCAGCAACCTGAAAAATCACAACCAACCAAATCCAAGGAACAGCATTTAGCACCAGCACCCTCACTGACGCAACTACAAGCACCCTCACAGACGCAACCACAAGCACCCTCGCAGACGCAACCACAAGCACCCTCGCAGACGCAACTACAAGCACCCTCACTGACGCAACCACAAGCACCCTCACAGACGCAACCACAAGCACGCTCACAGACGCAACCACAAGCACGCTCACAGACGCAACCACAAGCACCCTCACAGACCCAAACACAAGCACCAGCCCAAGCACAAGCTCTGGAGACCCCCAAGGCTGGCGCGCCGACGGGAGAGGACAGCGTAGGAGACGCCAGAACACTCACGGCGAAAGTGCACGGCTGGATGTGCCCGACCTGTACTCTCGTCAATCGGTGGGAGCGCCCTGGGTGTGAGGCGTGTGCAACCGAGAGACCGGGATCGGAGCCCCTAGGCAAAGGGGCTGCGGCGGAAAAGGTAGAGGAGTCTTTCGAGTGTTTTATAATGCACGTAACTATGTTCATTGTATAACGTATAGGGTGTATAGATGTATATCAGCATATTTAGGGGTACCAATTTATACGCATTTACATATGTGTGTGTGTGTTCTTGTCTGCTTTTGTGTACATGTTTGTGTGAGTGTTTCTTCGTGAGTGTGGCCAACTGTATTTATGTGTTTTGTGTGAATTTGCTTGTCCTTGGTTGTGTATATGTATGCTCATATGTTTATATACATTTGTGCGAGTGTTTGTGTTCACTATATATGTATATGAAAGTATGTGTGTGTGTGTGTGTGTGTGTGAAAAGGAAAACAATATGATATGAACTTTATTTCACCTCTTATTGCGGCCGTTTTTCCTTTTCATCTTTGTGTGCATAGTACTGTATTTGTGTTC